TGAATAAAATTTATAATTCGGTAGCCAAATGCACCATCGACTTCGATATCATCTTCGGATGTAGATTATAGTTTTTTTGCGAAATTAGAAGCATCCTCGGTGTCCTTTTCGGAGCGGTAGCGGCCTGGCGGTTTACTGTTGCAAATTCTATTCCGATTGGCACGAGTTGATGATGATCTGGTTCCTTTCTTATCACTATACACCGTCCCACTCATTTTGTTACAAAAACCTTTTACTTCTATCAATACGAACTATAACTAGTCAATGAAAATAATACAAAACAAACTATAACTGACGTGACGTTTACTGTCAAAAACTATCAATAGACTCGTATAATACAATACACTTGTATTTATGGACTCGTATAAAATACGCGCAGCAGAGCGGCCCACAGTGGCACGATACTGTAAATAAGTAGACATTCGACAAAAATCCGGAATTCGAATATATGCTAATTTTTTCTGCTAATGTATAGAAAAGTGTCCCTTTCATTATAAAATGGCCTTAAAACAACTTTAAAAAAGCTGTAATCTGCTTTGAAGTTACTTGATTAAGACTGTTATAAATCACTTAATATTAGCAACGTAATTACGATAGAGTTTTTACAGAAATATTTCTGTTTGTAATCCAGTTAACGAAAATCGGTTTATATCCAATAATAGTGTAATATTTTGAGATTTCTAAATACATGCTTACTTATACTCACAAGTATGTTCTTGAGAAATATTGAAAACATTGAATGTACCCTAATTTCTAAAATATATATATATATATTTCGATGTTTATAAAAAAATGCTCAAAAGTGCAAGATGAACTATTAGCGTAGGTAGATTAGCTATAATGTCTACTATGGGAAACTATCGATATCTTATCCGACCGCATCCGACCAAAGGATATTTTCGATATTATTTGTCCCGCTGTTCCTTACTAAAAATTGATATTTTTCAAGTTTTTAAAAAATTATTCTAAGGTGCAAGGTTAATATTTACTACCACAAAAAGATTAGTCAAAGATTATAGGCTTAAGCCGGGTTCACACGCACTTTTTTTACAAGACAGTTTTTTACTGAATAATAGTAACGCAATCAGCATAGATTTGTTCACTCGTCGTTTATACTGCAAAATTGCGTTATATACTGTTTAAGATAAGATTTGATTTTTATTCAGTAAAAATGTATTCTGCAAAAAAAACGTGCCGTGTGAACCCAGCCTTAGTATTACATTCTGTCTTGTCATTTTTAAATTTTAAATTGGAGTAGGCTATGATTTTAAAATTTATAAACATAACCTAACTTTTGAGAAATCAAAAATTTAAACTGTCATTTTTAAAAGTAAACTTTTAATAGCAGTTTTCGAAAAAAGTCATTATGGATTTAAAAACTAATGAAGATCTGTTCAACATCGTGAACAAAAATAAAAAATTATGGAAGTATGGCGAACTTTACGATACCATTGCGTCAACAATGGACAGAATTTTATCAGAAGACAAACAGAAGATTTTGAAGGAGTGTCTTCGGAAATTTTGTGTAAATTTATTCAGAAGATGGAAGAAGTGTTGTTATAATAAAAAGCGCTTCCTAATCCGAGAACATGCTTGGTTACATTCAATATTTAATTGGCCGATGGGTCTAAAAAATGAAATATTTGGAGAAACAATACGTCCGCAACAAAATTCAACTGAATTTAAAAGAAGACCCTTTTTGGAATTAAGCTACCGTCAGAAGAAGAGGAGGACCAACGCTCTGCGGTCAGAAAATACTTTGGATGAGCTTATCTTTGCAACAAGATTAAAAATGGGTACACATGGATCTCGCGAACTGGCCAAGATTTTAAACCACCTTCTCAAACATTCTGAAGATATTTCCAAAGTATCTAATATATTATTTCAAAAAAAGAAAAAAAAGCCTACATTAACCCCTGATGACAGCCTTGCTCTTTATACATCTTTAAATTTATCAAAATGGCAATACAATACTTTGAGAGATTCTGTAGGAAAGTCACTGATTCCATCATATTATAAGGTGACTATGGCAAAAAAGGCCTGTTATCCACCCTTAGAATCTATGAATGTTACGGACACTGCGGCAAAAATTAAAATTCAAGCTCTTCTGGATTTAACGGTATCGAGACTTTTAAAAACTTGCTTGGATAAATTGCAATCAACAGAACTAGTGCTAATTAGTAAATGGGGATTTGATGGAGCTTCCAGCCAGAGTAACTACAAACAAACATTTAACGATGTAGATGCAGATGATTCTTTCATATTCATGTCAAGTTGTGTACCCCTAAAATTGTCAACTCCAAATGATGTCGTGATTTGGGAAAATCCTCGCCCATCTTCTACTCATTATTGCCGCCCAATAAAATTTGAATTTATAAAAGAAAATAATATAGTTATTAAGCAAGAAATGGCAGATTTGCAAAATCAAATAAACGCACTTACACCAACCTTTTTTAACGGCATTACTATAAAACATCAAATGGTGATGACCATGATAGATGGAAAGGTTACTACTGTAGTCTCAAACACTCCTTCCGCTTCTACTTGTAATGTTTGTTTAGCTAAGCCCAATGAAATGAATAATTTATCTGTTGTGCTCACGAAAGAGGTAAGATGTGATGTCTTCAAAATACGGATTATCAACGCTTCACATGTGGATTCGATGTTTTGAGTGTTTAATACACATATCCTACAATCTGGATTTTAAGAGATGGTGTGCGCGAAAGGAGCATGCACCTTTAAAGGATGCAAGAAAAAAACAAATTCAAGTAAAATTTCGTAAAGAACTCGGTATTTTAGTTGATGTGGTAAAGCAGGGGGTTGGCTCTACTAATGATGGCAATACTGCTCGAAAATTCTTCAACAATTTTGATAAATCTGCCAAAATTACAGAGCTCTATGAAAATTTAATCAAACGTTTTGCTGTAATTCTTCAGACAATTTCATCGGGGAGAGAGATAAACATAAATGCGTTTGATAAATACTGCAAGGATACAGCAAAACAATATGTTTCTCTTTATGGGTGGTACTATATGCCATCAAGTGTACATAAATTATTAATTCATGGGGCGAAGATTTGCAAACATTTTTCAATTTTACCAATAGGAAAATTATTAGAGGAAGTAGGGGAAGCGAGAAATAAAGACTTTAGAAAATTCCGAGAGGATCATTCCCGGAAGCAAAGTAGAATTTTAGCCAATGAGGATGTAATGCACAACCTCTTGATATCATCAGATCCCCTTATATCAAGTATTAGACCGAGATATTCACGACATAAACCATCAAATTTATTTCCGGAGGCAGAGCAATTGTTAGTTCATGATGAAAAGGGCGAGGAATATGATTCAGAAGCAGGAGAATTTTTAGAATGAACATTGAGTTGGTTCATCATTCATTGGGCGCTTGTGTTTATTCTTCTGTTTATACTTTTCTGATTAACATTCAATTTGTTGTACGTCTTCTGTGTTGTTTTGTGTTTTAATACGTTTGCCACTATTGTTACTTTTATTATATTTGTTACAATTATTTATTAAATTAGTTATCTGTTCAGTTGTGAGTTGGTTCATCATTCATTGAGCGTTTATCTTCATTCTTTTGTTTTTACTTTTTTTCAAGAGATAGTTTCAAATCTGCATTAATTATTTACCAATTAACATTCAGGTATTGAATGTTTTCGTGTTATTTTGAGTGTTAATACGGTTATCACGGTTACACCCTCTAATTACCGTTTGGTGTAATAGTTTCTTATTGCTATTTTTTATTACTCTTATTATGTTCGTTATATTTATTTTGTTTGTTAACTCTTTTTTTTTGTGATAGTGGATTTTCTACCATTAAACTCCCCATAATACCAGTTTTCAAGTCATTTTCTCTGAAACTGTTCAATTTATGAAAGAAGTAATTAACTGAAAGACAATCTTCAACGCCGTGTATACATTATATGAGCAATATTTTGCCAATACATTTTTGGTATTATTTTCATTTTAAATGAAAATAGAATTTGTAGTTACTCTTTGGTCAATTTATTACCGACCACCAGTATAACACTAATGTGTGTATTATGAACACACTGTATATGACTCAATTATTTTATAGTTTAACATTTTATAGTTTTTGGTAGCAACAATCTATAAAAAAGAGCATGGTATAAAAATAAAAACACCCATGTCCACCCTTTTTCACTTTCGTCCCACTGTGCGGCCGGTTTGTTTCAAGTAGTAAAACAAGTATTTATTAAAAAAACTGTATTTTCAGTCGCTTGTCATTCAAAATTGCTTTTGGACATGATTTTTAGGTATTATAAGCATCATTTAAGCCAATAAAAAAAAATGAAAAAAAAATATTTTGCTGGGTAGTATAACGCCTTAAGGGTGATTTAAGCATAACGCCGATAGATATTGACCGACGAAAACCCGGATTAAGATAGCTGAAGGAGCGTCCTTTCTGACTGCGATAACAGTTTTTTAAAATTCGTTTTAAGTTTGGTAATTTTAAGCTATTTTAAGTACAGCGCGGTGTTCTTCATTTTTTATTGATCTTAATATCAATATCTTATCGGCAGACGAAAACCCGGTTTTAGATAGAGAAAGATTCAAGCTTTCAAGTGGTGCATTTAGTTTTCCGCTATCCCTAATTATAAGGAAGATATCAGCTAAGAAAGTAGATAGGAAATTACGGGTAAAAGTTTGCTGAAAAAAAAACTTTTGTGTTATTTTCGTTAAAATCGGTTATGTTAATTTCAAGTTCAATGTTTCGTTTATAAGCGCCACAAAAAATCGCGACTCTAACACCGTCGAAATATTAAATAAGATTCGCGACCGGAATAAAATTATCTATTGAAAACGATCCCTTCGCGTCCCCCCAATTAAGGAGAAAATCACGCACATCCTCTGAACTAACCTATATATTGCACGACTTCCCCTTCTCGGGATCAAGTGGACAATTTATCAATTTAAGAGATTAACTAAATCGACTTCTTAAATTAAAAAAATAATTCTTACCTTTGCATCTAACGCAGCGCTTTCTCGGGTAAGATGAGTGTCTCATGGAATGATCATCAAACGCAAACGATGAGTTGTTTGAGGGGATCGCATTTCCATCGGGGGTTGCGTGAATTACAACGTGAGGGTCTTCTTTAAAACTCGGGGAGCTCGCGGTTCTTTCTCGAGCCATAACAGTCCCGATGCTGTGTCTTCTTCGGGTAACAGAGAGGTTTGAGTAAGTTGCGATGTTTTCGGCTAAAAAGACCTCTTCGTCTTCATCTTGGTCGATGTCATCGTTGATTTCTGATGTGGGTAATGAAGAGTACAAACATTTTTTGTCGGTTCTTGTAAATTTGAGTGAGTTTGATCTTCTTGGTTCCGGTGGTAATTTGTAAGTTAAATCTGGAGCGATGTCTGATAATCTTGGTTCCCCCATTATTAATAATTCTTGATTTGAATCCGCCGAGTTTGTGCTCACCGATCTTAAATAACCACGAGCAAATTTAAAGGGTAGCGGTAAATTGAGTTGTTTTAGGGAGCTTTCCGAAGACGTGGAGGCTGTGTCGGAGGTTTTTGGTGATTTCTTCAAGAATTCATTGCCGATGGGCTCGGTATTGACGGTGAAATACGAGGGATTGTCTACAAACATTGAACGCAGTTTCAGAAAGACTGAAGAAGACAACCGGGTATGTTAATAAAAGGAAAAAGTGGGGACTCTTTGTGTACATCCGACAGGATGTTAAAGCATCTTCGGTGCATGTTAAGTTCAAGACGAAGACGTCGAGTTAAAATAAAAAAAATTTTCGCCAACAACAACTCAAGCTTATTGAGATTGAACGATCTTTTATTCATTTGTATTCAACGGAATGATCGGAATTTGTATTTAATTTCGTATTAAGTTTGGTGCTTTGGGTGCAAGATCAAAGACTTGAGGGTACCATTTTAAGTGATTAATTGCAAGCATTAAATCTGGATGCTCTAAAATTTGTCCCCGAATCTTAGTTGTAACTTGAAACCACGGAATTCGATCCTTAAAACCCACTCAAGATCTTAACCCCTCTAATAACATTTAAAATCACATATTAATTATATATTTTTTTATTATCGTAAAACAAAATGTATTCTTTGGCAAATTGTCAAACCTTCCAGGCCATTACTTTCATTTTGACAGTGATTTCCTGTCTGGCCGAGGAGAATCTTTAAAAATACCGACCCGACAATCTCTTTGTTGAAGAGTTGTTGCATCAACGCGCGTCTTCTCTAATTAATATTAATGCAACGACCTTCGCAACTATGAACCTTCTGGGAATGTTTCTGGTAACACCGAGAAAAAGGGTATCTATTTATCGGGGTAACAAAGTTATTTCGGATTCTAAACGCGACCGTAACCGGTGATCAAAAAAGGCGATGGTAATCTAAATGGACCTACCTAAAGCCATTGTTCCCGTTCGCTTATGGCACGGACATCAACTGGCTATGTTAATGCGGTGTATTTGGCACGTGTCTTGAAAGATCATTTAAACGTGCCGATAAATTGGTGATCCTACCTGAAACATACAAAGAAGAATAAAAATAACTTCTAATAATGACTTTGCATATCTTATTTTAAACTACACCCCTTTTAATGTAATTCCTGAAAATTTTGTCATTTCAACTTGACTATGAATTTTTATAACCTTATAAATCTTCATTTTTGGTGGTTGTGGATACTTTTTAATAACTTTTTCGTATTAATTTTAATAACAATTTCATATTTATTATTGAAATCTTTATACTTAATTCTATAACATCTGATAATTTGGTGATTCCAACTCGATTTTTAAAACAAATTATAAATTTTTCTGATCTCAAACAACTAATTTTTAATTAAGAATTTTATCCATGTTGCAAGTTGGGAATATATTAAAAAATATACCAAAAAGATATACTAGAAAAAACTTCTTTAGCTTGCTTTTATTTAAATATATATCGAGACTAGTTATTATATATTTAAATAAAAGCAAGCTAAAGAAGTTTTTTCTAGTATATCTTTTTGGTATAATTTTTAATATATTCCCAACTTGCAACATGGATAAAATTCTTAATTAAAAATTAGTTGTTTGAGATCAGAAAAATTTATAATTTGTTTTAAAAATCGAGTTGGAATCACCAAATTATCAGATGTTATAGAATTAAGTATAAAGATTTCAATAATAAATATGAAATTGTTATTAAAATTAATACGAAAAAGTTATTAAAAAGTATCCACAACCACCAAAAATGAAGATTTATAAGGTTATAAAAATTCATAGTCAAGTTGAAATGACAAAATTTTCAGGAATTACATTAAAAGGGGTGTAGTTTAAAATAAGATATGCAAAGTCATTATTAGAAGTTATTTTTATTCTTCTTTGTATGTTTCAGGTAGGATCACCAATTTATCGGCACGTTTAAATGATCTTTCAAGACACGTGCCAAATACACCGCATTAACATAGCCACTTGATGTCCGTGCCATAAGCGAACGGGAACAATGGCTTTAGGTAGGTCCATTTAGATTACCATCGCCTTTTTTGATCACCGGTTACGGTCGCGTTTAGAATCCGAAATAACTTTGTTACCCCGATAAATAGATACCCTTTTTCTCGGTNCACATTCCACCATAAATTATGCCCCTTTTAATGTAATTTCTGAAAATATCGTGATTTCAACTTCATTTTTAACAAAGCTATGAATTTTTATAACCTTATAAATCTTCAGTTTTGGTGATTTTGGATACTTTTTAATTTGATCACCCAGAACTTTTTCGTATTAATTTTAATAACAATTTCATATTTGTTATAAAAATCTTCATACTTTATTCTATAATATCTAATAATTTGGTGATTCCAACTCGATTTTTAAAAAAGTTATGAATTTTCTAATCTCAAACAACCAATTTTTAAACACTATATGATTTAACCACATCTAACTTTTTAATTTTATTCTTAACAACAATTTTGCACATTCCACCATAAGTTATACTCCTTTTAATGTAATTTCTGAAAATATCGTCATTTCAATTTCATTTTTAACAAAGCTATGAATTTTTATAACCTTATAAATCTTCATTTTTGGTGATTTTGGATACTTTTTAATTTAATCACCGAGAACTTTTTCGTATTAATTTTAATAACAATTTCATATTTATTATTGAAATCTTTATACTTTATTCTATAATATTTGATAATTTGGTGATTCCAACTCGATTTTTAAACAAATTATAAATTTTTCTGATCTCAAACAACCAATTTTTAGACAGTTTATAATTTAACCACATCCAACCTTTTAATTTTATTCTTAACAACAATTTTGCACATTTCACCATAAATTATGCCCCTTTTAATGTAATTCCTGAAAATATTGTGATTTCAACTTCATTTTTAACAAAGCTATGAATTTTTATAACATTATAAATCTTCATTTTTGATGACTTTGAATACTTTTTAATTTGATCACCTAGAACTTTTTTGTATTTATTTTAATAACAATTTCATATTTTTTATTGAAATCTTTATACTTTATTCTATAACATCTGATAATTTGATGATTCCAACTCGATTTTTAAAAAAGTTATGAATTTTTTTAATCTCAAACAACCAATTCTTAGACATTTTATGATTTAACCTCATCCAACTTTTTAATTTTATTCTTAACAACAATTTTGCACATTCCACTATAAATTATGCCCCTTTTAATGTAATTTCTGAAAATATCGTGATTTCAATTCCATTTTTAACAAAGCTATGAATTTTTATAACCTTATAAATTTTCATCTTTGGTGATTTTGAATATTTTTTAATTTCATCACCTAGAACTTTTTCGTATTAATTTTAATAACAATTTCATATTTGTTATTGAAATCTTCATACATTATTCTATAATATGTGATAATTTGGTGATTCCAACTCTATTTATAAAAAAGTTATAATTTTTCTAATCTCAAACAACCAATTTTTAGACACTCTATGATTTAACCACATCCAACTTTTAAATTTTATTCTTAACAACAATTTTGTATATTCCATCATAAATTATACCCCTTTTAACGTAATTCCTGAAAGTATCGTGATTTCAATTTTATTTTTAACAAAGCTATGAATTTTTGTAACCTTATAAATCTTAAGTTTTGGTGATTTTGGATACTTTTTAATTTGATCACCTAGAACTTTTTCGTATTAATTTTAATAACAATTTCATATTTGTTATTAAAATCTTTATACTTTATTCTGTAACATCTGATAATTTGGTGATTCCAACTCGATTTTTAAAAAAGTTTTGAATTTTCTAATCTCAAACAACCAATTTTTAAACACTATATGATTTAACCACATCTAACTTTTTAATTTTATTCTTAACAATAATTTTGCACATTCCACTATAAATTATGTCCCTTTTAATGTAATTTCTGAAAATATCGTGATTTCAATTTCATTTTTAACAAAGCTATGAATTTTTATATCCTTATAAATCTTCATTTTTGGTGATTTTGGATACTTTTTAATTTGATCACCTAGAACTTTCTCGTATTAATTTTAATAACAATTTCATATATGTTATTGAAATCTTTACACTTTATTCTATAACATCTGATAATTTGGTGATTCCAACTCGATTTTTAAACAAATTATAAATTTTTTTAATCTCAAACAACCAATTTTTAAACACTTCATGATTTAACCACATGCAACTTTTTCATTTTATTCTTAACAACAACTTTGCACATTCCACCATAAATTTTGCCCCTTTTAATATAATTTCTGAAAATATCGTGATTTCAACTTCATTTTTAACAAAACTATGAATTTTTATAACCTTATAAATCTTCATTTTTGGTGATTTTGGATACTTTTTAATTTGATCACGTAAAACTTTTTAGTATTAATTTTAATAACAATTTCATATTTGTTATTGAAATCTTCACACTTTATTCTATAATATCTGATAATTTGGTGATACCAACTCGATTTTTAAACAAATTATAAATTTTTCTGATCTTAAACAACCAATTTTTAGACACTTTATGATTTAACCACATCCAACTCTTTAATTTTATTCTTAACAACAATTTTGCACATTTCTCCATAAATTATACCCCTTTTAATGTAATTCCTGAAAATATCGTGATTTCAACTTCATTTTTAACAAAACTATGAATTTTTATAACCTTATAAATCTTCATTTTTGGTGATTTTGGATACTTTTTAATTTGATCACGTAAAACTTTTTAGTATTAATTTTAATAACAATTTCATATTTGTTATTGAAATCTTCACACTTTATTCTATAATATCTGATAATTTGGTGATACCAACTCGATTTTTAAACAAATTATAAATTTTTCTGATCTTAAACAACCAATTTTTAGACACTTTATGATTTAACCACATCCAACTCTTTAATTTTATTCTTAACAACAATTTTGCACATTTCTCCATAAATTATACCCCTTTTAATGTAATTCCTGAAAATATCGTGATTTCAACTTCATTTTTAACAAAGCTATGATTTTTTATAACCTTATAAATCTTCATTTTTGGTGATTTTGGATACTTTTTAATTTGATCACCTAGAACTTTTTCGTATTAATTTTAATAACAATTTCATATATGTTATTGAAATCTTTATACTTTATTCTATAATATGTGATAATTTGGTGATTCCAACTCGATTTTTAAAAAAGTTATGAATTTTTCTAATTTCAAACAACCAATTTTTAGACACTTTATGATTTAACCACATCCAACTTTTTAATTTTATTCTTAACAACAATTTTGCACATTCCACCATAAATTATACCCCTTTTAATGCAATTACTGAAAATATCGTGATTTCAACTTCATTTTTAACAAAGCTATGAATTTTTATAACCTTATAAATCTTCATTTTTGGTGATTTTGGATACTTTTTATTTTGATCACCCAGAACTTTTTCGTATTAATTTTTATTAACAATTTCATATTTGTTATTAAAATCTTTATACTTTATTCCATAATATTTGATAATTTGGTGATTACAACTCTATTTTTAAAAAAATTATGAATTTTTCTTATCTCAAACAACCAATTTTTAGACACTTTATGATTTAACCACATCCAACTTTTTAATTTTATTCTTAACAATAATTTTGCACATTCCACTATAAATTATGCCCCTTTTAATGTAACTTCTAAAAATATCGTGATTTCCACTTCATTTTTAACAAAGCTATGAATTTTTATAACCTTATAAATCTTCATTTTTGGTGATTTTGGATACTTTTTAATAACTTTTTCGTATTAATTTTAATAACAATTTCATATTTGTTATTGAAATCTTTATACTTTATTCTATAACATCTGATAATTTGGTGATTCCAACTCGATTTTTAAACAAATTATAAATTTTTCTAATCTCAAACAACCAATTTTTAGACACTTTATGATTTAACCTCATCCAACTTTTTAATTTTATTCTTAACAATAATTTTGCACATTCCACTATAAATTATACCCCTTTTAATGTAATTTCTTAAAATATCGTGATTTCAA